TGGTGTTGGATGGTATGCAGTGTGGCAGTGTGTGTGAATGTGGTGTTATTGCTTGCAAAACTACTATAATACTATTATTGAATGCTTGTAGTATATGTTTAGTGTTTGGTGGCCAGTTTTGGGGTGGTATAATAATTAAGATGAATATCATTGTATATGTTTTTGTTGTTTTATCTATTTTGTAAATCATGTATTCATTGTGTTTGGACGATGGTCTGTTTTGGTGAGCCTCAATCCTATGGTGGGGATTTGGGGCGAGTAACTGGTTCCAAGTGAGAATTATTGAAGTGTTACATGTGGCGATGGTAACAATTTTTGATGGGCTATGATCCTATAGTGAGGATCAGAGCGAGTGAACCTGAGAGTTCACATTTGGTACCACATGTATTGAGTCCTGAGTTGAGTTTCTTTGCATTTGCATACAAGTTGGATTATGATGTGTGGATTATGTGAAATGTGAATTGTGAATGAGTGATTATGCATATGTCAATGGTTTGCATACATATTATTATGTATTTCTTTAAATGATTGTGATTTCTCACCCCTTATGTTTGAATGTTGCCTTTACATTGGCATCGTGAAGATAATCTGCAGTAGAGACATGGATGAGAGTGGAAAAGAGTACTCTTTGTTATGCTTTTGTCAAGTTGGCGTCTGCTTTGATATGTAACACTGGGAGGTGGAACATTTTTTTATTTTAATTATGTTTGGTGGAGGTTTTATGTTAATATCTTATGTTGAATCATTTATTATGATTATCGTTTGCTATGATTATGTTTGAATAGTTTAAATAATCAGTTGTTGGTGCTTTTTCATTGCTAAAACTATGTTGGAGTTCTAACATGTTTGTTATTATTATTATTTTTAAATTTCATTATGTGATATATATCCAATTGCTTGAGCTGGTTTTAGTTTAAGTAGCATCCTAATTATTTGGTGTTACTCTGATTTTATTTAAAATTACGCGAGGAAAATTAGGGTGTTACACTTTCGATCATCTTTATCTCCACACCAATTGGAATCGGTAAAACCGAGAAAAGTACATTTTCTGCCTGTATTCGCTGCAGGAAAGAGAATTTTGCAGCCAAAAGAACCTTTGACATATCTTAGGATCCTCTTGACTGCTTCCAAGTGAGACACCTTCGATCTCCCCGTGAATCTACTCACAATAACGATCCTTAACTCCAAGTCTGGTCGCGTATTGCACAAATAACATAAGGATACAATCAACCTCCTATATTGTGTTGGATCAACATCTTGCTCATCCTCATTCTTCGAGGACTGTAGCCTCGGTTCAACTAGAGTAATGGCAGCATTACAATGATTCATTTCAAACATCTTTAATATCTCAAGCACATATCTTCTTTGGTGCATAAGCAGTCCCATTTTGAACTTGTGAAACTCAATGCCAAAGAAGTATGTCATAAGGCCAAGGTCAGTAATCTCAAACCTTTCATAAGTTCACTCTTAAACTTAGAAATACACCTTATGTTGTTTCCAGTTATCAATAAATATTCTACAGGTAGACAAAGGATAATCACTTTTTCATATATACCCGTCTTCACATACACTTCATGCTCGGATACACATTTCCTGAAGCTAGTCTCAACCATTTATTCTTTTGTTCTAAGCTCTTTGAACTTGGTTTAAACTATATAACGCTTTCTCCAACTTGTAGAATTTTAGCTCTTGGTTTTTCACAACAAAACTAGGGAGTTGTTCTATATACACCTCTTCTTCAAACGGTCCATTGAGAAACGCAGATTTGACGTCCATTTAGTTAATGGGCCAATTGTTGTTATTCGCAATACAAATAAATAGCCTTATGGTTTTAATCCTAGCAAATGGTGTGAATATCTCTTCAAAGTCTATACCTTCTCTTAGCAAGAATCCCTTTGCAACTAATCGAGTCCTATGCTTGATTATTTCACCCTTAGGATTTGACTTTACTTTGAACACCCATCTTACACCAATTAGCTTCTTCCCTTCCAGTAGATCAACCAACTCCTAAGTATTGTCCTTCTCAATAGATTCCAGCTCCTTCTTCATATCACAAATCCACTTTTGATCACTTAAAGCCTCTTCTGTTTTAACAGGTTCATTAGGCCATAAGTGAAATATGGATGAAATCACTATCATCATTGACTTCGTTTTCTCGAAATACCTCACAATCTTGGAGCCTTTGAGGAAAACCTATTTTCCATGTTAATCTTGTGACATTTTCTTCAATTTGGGCTTCAAGACAAGATTTTCTACACTTTCTGTTTTTGCAGAATCTAAGTTTTCAAATGTGTAATCGGTTACAGCTTTTACGTAACCGATTACATGTTGCTGCAAGTGTTTGATTTCATCGACAATGGCGTATCAGCTGATCACAACCCTTTTATTTGCTGCATCAAATAACTTGTAACCATTGGTAGATTGATACCCTACAGGTATCATCATTTCTCCCTTACCATCCAGGTTCTTTCTAAGTTGCCTTGAACATGTCGATACACTATGGAACCAAAAAATCTCAAATGGTTCAGATTCGGTTTGAAGCTCAACCATGCATCCTTCAGTGTTACACTTTCAAGCTTTTTTTTTGGAAACCTATTAAAAAAATAGGACGTTGTGGATGCTTTTTCTCCCCATAACTCTTTCAGCATGTTCTTCCCCCTTTAACATGCTTCTCACCATGTTCATAATCGATCGATTCTTCCTTCCGGCAATACCGTTTTTCTGCGGTGTATGTGGTACAACCTTATGTACAATCCTTTCTTGATCACAAAACCTCTCAAAGTCTTTTGAGACATATTCATCTTCACTATCTATTTTGAGCATTTTGAGTTTGTGACCGCGTTTCCTCTCAATCATGGACTTGAACTTCTTAAACATTTCAAATACCTCATCATTTCTCTTGATTAGGTATGTCCATGGTTGTCTACTATGATCGTCAATGAATGTAACAAAGCATTTACTGCCACCAAAGAAATCTACTTGCATCAGTCACCTTAAGGTGATTCTTAGTTCTACAACCTACATCCTTGCTGAATTGACCCTTATATTGCTTCTCTTGCACGCATTCTTCACTAATTTCAGTCGGTATGTTTATCAATGGCAACCCCATTACCATTTCGTTCTTTTGCTAGTCTTTGAGATCTCAGAAATTAAGATGTCTAAGAAGATAGTGATATATTAGCTCTTCTCAACTTGATGTCCATAATCTTTAGCTCAACCTTGAAGGTTCTATTGGCAGCCATAGAAGCTTTAAGGACCAAAACTTTGTTTGCATCGATAACGTGCAACCTTTTGTTTTCCATGTGAATATTGTAACCCTTCTCAAGCAATTGACCAATACTTAGAAGGTTACGTTAATTCTTGAAATGAACAATAAACATTTGATCAAGGAATATCCATCATCCCTTCTCATGATCAAAACATCACTGATCTCATCGGCTGCTAGAGTGGTGTCATCCGCGAACTTTAGTTTGTTCTTCATGACACGATTGATTTTAATAAACCAATCCTTCCTCCCTGTCATATGAGTAGAGCATTCCAAGTCCAAATATCATTCCTCACTGCACTGAACTACACCTTTTGTACTCATCATGGAATTTTCTTCTACATGTAACCGATTGCAGCCTATTTTGCAGCATTCTCATAATTGATGTTGCTGCTGACTCGCAGCCTTCTGTTACTGCGTTCTCCTTCCATGATCATGGCCAAGAGTGTATTCTCTTCATCAAACTCTTTTCTTGCAACCTTGGGCCCATCTCCTTGAGGTTCCTTCTTGTTTGCATTGCACTCTTTTGCAATATGATCGAACCTTTGACACTTAAAGTATTGTTTCTTACTTTTGTCAAACCTCTTCTTTTCATCTCTAAAGTTATCTTGACCATCATTTTTGTTGCAGTTGTTCTCACCCCTTTGACAAGTCGAATTATTGGAATTTTGAAACTCTCTTCCACCAAAGTTCTGAAAATTCCATTTACTATTCATGGACTATTTTCCTTTCGATCTCTTGTCCTTCTCGTTGAAGCAAGCTTGCAAAGAAATCTTCGTTTTTGCCTTATCATTATTTCTCTCATCCATCCTTTGCTCATGATACTCAAGAGAGCTTTGCAGCTCCTCTTTACTCATTGTCGCAAGATCATTCGATTCCTCAATCGTTACAACCACGTTGTCAAATCTTGGTGTTAAAGAACAAAAGATTTTTACGACAACATATTGCTCTGTGATTGTTCCCAAGTGATTTAATTCTACTTTACACCATACTAAAGACAGAGAGATTGGTCAATGATACTTTGCTCATGAGCCTTCAAGGCATTTATACAATTATGCAATTACATAATAGAAAAACTTAAAAAACCCATGTCTGGAACTGGTTACACTTTACAACTGACACTAAAATAAATCTCTTTTCAGTGGTAATCGGTTGCACTCAGATGTTAACCGATTACAGCTGAGAAATTTTCACTTTTTCTATAACTCATAAGTGTTTTTGGCCAAATTGTAACTGATTACAACATTTGAATTATTAAAAATATTTTTAATATTTGTGATGTATTTTTTTATTTGTAACATTGTTAATTTAGTAAATAATTTAAAATATTAATTATTTGATTATTTATTTTTTGAAAAACTTGATTATTTTTATAAAAAGATTCTGCAATGTAACTTGTGAATAGCCTATAAAAGAAACATGCTGGAAAGTAACTTTATCTTAAACTAATCAATTTTAAACTAATTTATAAAAAAATTATTTAGAAAAATATCATTATTATTTTAAAAAGGTCGAATATTTAAGGCAAAGATTGTGGCTGATTATCAATTCAATGCATTTGAATTATATCCATATTTTACCCTATCTCTCATTTTACTTTATTCTCATGAAATTCAGATGTAGTGAGTAAGAAAACCTACGTTTATCTCTCTTCGAGAAAACCTAAACAAAACTCACAAACTAATTACAACTCTAAATCAAATACAAACTCGAGTTTCAATATTTCTGCACAAAAATGCGAACCACGTTGTCCAACACCGTGGACAAGGAGTTTCAGTCTCCGCTCTTGCCGCCGGGCGATGAATCCATACCGGAGAAACTATGCATAGACGAGATGCTTCAGAGTTACTGCGGAGAGTTTGGGCGATGGCATCTGAAACATTTCGTACTGACGAGTCTGGCGTGGGCGTTGGAAGCTTTCCATACCATGATCATGATATTCGCTGATCGTGAACCGAAGTGGAGGTGTCTCGATGGTGCTGCCGGTTTGGGTTGTGACCCCGCAGCTAAGAGTGTGTGTGAAATTGAACCGGGTTCGTGGGAATGGGTGGAAGGTGTGGCTTCCTCGACTGTCGCAGAATGGGGTCTGGTTTGTGGTGACAAGTATAAGGTTGGTCTGGTTCAAGCCGTGTTTTTCGCTGGCTGTATGTTTGGTAAGTTTTCTCTCTCTCTCTCTATATATATATATATATAAAAGTTGAGTAAGAATATTAATAAAACATTTGTGACAAAACTAACTTTTGAATTGGATTGATCGGTCCAATAAATCAAATACTGACGGTGAAAAAAAAAATTAAAATTTAACAAATCGTATTTTACGTACCAACTTATATTCGTGAATGAATTCTCACATACCTTCAACTCATTATCCTCCTTCAATATCAATGGATGATAATCAATACAAAATAATATTTCATTTGACATCCATTCCGCTTTGATATTATGTTAAATGTATTTAGATTTTATACTTCAAAAAATATTTAAAAATATAAAATTGTTTTCACAAATTTATATATATCAACCTTTTAAAAATATAAATAAAATAAAATTTCAAACAATTTTCAACAACACAAATACATATGTGCTTCAGAGTTTGATAACTATAACCAATTAAACACGGCTAGTCAAAAGAAATTATTCATACTTTCCTTTACAAAAACATAGGCTAGATACAATTATAATTTTTTAAAAAAGTTAGAAATATATCCAGCAATGAGTTTTCTAGTCTTACTTTTGTCATTTATGATATTTTCTAGAATATAATTTAATCATGTGATATTAATACAATTATCACGGATATTAAGTTTTAGATAAAACAATTCAGTGCATATTATTCAAAAATATGGGTAAAACAAAAAACTATTTTGAAGTGAAACGAGAAATACATACTATAGAAGAAATAAGCTTTTCTTACATGATGGTGAGAATTTCTAGTCTGATAAAATAAAAAAGATTTGTGAAATTAATATTTTAATGTGTAAATCAATAAAGTTAAAAAGATGTAATTTGAATGTGAAAGTAAGATAATATCTAAAATGACACATTGTTGGATTTATTTATGATGAAGAGTTAAAACTCCTTTCAATTAAAGTGATGTGAGATGCGGAAAGTCGTTCAATCACATCCAATTGTGAAGGTTATAATAATAGCTAAAATTAAATGTATAACTTTTAACGAGATCTCACATGTTCGCTTAATAGATAGAATCTCATAAATTTATTAATAAATATTTATCGTTATTTTGTTTTAACACAATAAAGATTGGAAGATTAATATAAATTTACTTAAAATAAATTTACAAACAAATGTTTTTTTAACTCAATAATTCTTTGCAAGTGTTTTTAATTATTCTATCGATTTCTGAACAAGTGGCATCCACCGTGGGGCCAATAAGTATTGTTTACAAATGAGCACCATAAATTATAAATGATAGATTGAGAGATTTCCTAGAGAAAACGAAAGTTGTGAAACATAAATATGTAAGCAATCTTAACTCGAGACAAGTGCATTGAAGCATTTAAGGGTAAGACATTGGTGCATGCACCCCTAATAGAAACAAAGAAGATCAAAATGGTGGATAAGGCCATAAGTGTCATCTTAGGGATAAAGTTCTAATGTAAGTCGTTAGGGAGAAGATTTGATATAGGCAAAAATTGAACCATTGTATAAAATTAAATCTTTTGGTCATAGATTATGTCTGAAACAATAACTTTACTCACTCTGAATCGTAGAGAACAAAATATATAATGAAACAATTGACAAAATTTCACAAGATTATTGATGATCTTGAGAATTTTGAGGTGAAGATTGAAGATGAAGACAAGGTTATACTCTATTTAGGCTCATAACTTAGATCATTTGAGCACTTTAAAGATGTGATTCTTTATAGTAAGGAAGATGTTATTACTTTCGATGAAGTCTAGACAGCTGTGAGATCCAAAGAATTTTCAAAGGTGAAAGATTTGAAAATTGACGATAGTGGTGAAGGTTTGATTGTCTCAAGAAGTGGAAGTGGGCGCAGAGGGATGTCCAAATCAAAGAGATTTGACAAGTCAAAGCTAAAATGTTTCACTTGTCATAAAACTAGTGATTTCATGATGGATTATCCCGGGAAGAAAGACAATGATTATTCTGTTTAGATTGTAGTTGCCTCTGATGATAATAGTAATGAGAGTGTTGGTGCACTATTGATGTCGAGTTTGGAGACTGTAGAGGCTTGGGTAATAGACTCAAGCTGCTCTTGTCAAATGTATCTAAGAAAAAAATATTTTGAGACTTTGAAGTTAGAGTAAAGTGTGGTAGTTCTCCTTGGTGACAATAAGGCTTGTATGGTTCATGGTATGTATTCGTACATTCACACTTAAAATGTTATATGATAGTGATTTTCTTCTTAACAACGTAAGACATGTTCTAGAGTTCGTGCAGAATTTGTTATCCATAAGAATGTTTGATAATATATGTTATTGCACTAGAACTGAACATGAGGTGTTGAAAATTTCGCAAGGTGAAGTGATAATAACTAAAGGGTATAAAATATTTGGTTTATATGTTTTAGAAGCTTATAATGTTGTTGTTGATTTATCATCAGCTAGTAAAGACTTTTATTACAAGAACAACCTGTGGGATTTGAGGTCAATGCATGGTGGATGTCTCAAGGTTGTTTTAGAGCATTTTAATGAGTTTTGCAAAAGACAATGGATAAAAATGCATGTGATCGTTGAGTTGTCATTGATTTTCTGGGGTAAGTATGGTGCCAAAGCAGCTTACCTAGTTAATAGGTGTTCATTTGCAGAAATACACTTCCAAATATTTATGGAGGTTTGGAGTAGGAAAACCATAAATTACATTGTCGTCAAAACTTCTCTTATTGATCAAATCAAGTCAATTCAGCTTGATGGTAAAGTTTTGAATTGTTTCTTCAATGGTTATTCGAGAGGTATGAAAGGTTATTAGTTGTTGGAAGTGGAACCTGGAGGATCAAATTTCTTCAATAGTAGATGTATTACTTTTCGTGAGTCCCATAATGGAAAGAAGAGTAAAGACCTGAGAATGAAACTTTTAGAAACTATGGCGGAGAAGACTTAGTTTGAGGTGGAGGTTCCTAATATGGATATTAGTATTAATGAGAGAACGGTTACAAAGGCATCTGATTATCATTTGACTCACGATAACGTAAGGAATGAGATTGTCTCATCTCAAAGTGACTGTTATTCATGTCTTGAGTTTTAAGCTTTGAATGTGGCTAAAGAGTGGCAAAAATCAAAAACATGAATCTTTAGGGAGGAATTCGAAAGTAGGTAGTGAAGCAGAAAAAGGTTGTTGGGAGCAAGTGGATCCAATTGGCAAGGTCAAGATTCAAGCGTGGCTTGAACTAGATAAAAAAATCGTGCAATCGATGTTGAATTGGTAAAGAGCAGCAAAGTGATTGATGGATATATATACATCATTCTGATTTTAAGTCAAAGTGTAGATTGTTGAAGTATGTCTTAAAATCTTAAGTGATGAAGAGAGAGGAAACATGTTTTAAGATTGCAGAATCTAGAAATAAGTCTGGCAATACAGTCGATGGTTGTGGCGCGATAGTGGGTTTGGATCCGGCGGGCAGTTCAGTTCATCAAAGCTCAGGTTCTCTTTTCTCGCTTCGCGTGTATTGAGTTTCGTTGTTCTAGTTCATAAATTTGTTTGTTTATTGGTTATATTTTGGGGTTTTCATGAATATGTTGGATTTTAACAATTATAAATATGTATTTTTTACATGCTTGCTACTACAACCTTTACAACTTTAGAGTTGAAGATAGACAGAAGAGATTGAGAATCCTAGTGGTAATCTTAAAGAGACAAGGATTAATTCATAAGAATGTGTTCTTGAAATTTGGGAAATCCTTGAAGATATGTGAGAGGATTAGGAAACACTTCTAAATGCTTTAGATTTGAGTAATTCATATATAGAGAATTTGAGAGATTAAGAAATACTAAAAAAAAAGGATTTGTTCTTGGAAACATGTGTGATTATTTTCTTGTAATTCGTTTTTAATCTTTTATAACAATTATCAGAAATATAGTGAATTAAAGAACTGTTCTCTCCTCTAGAATAAATTGTTTTATCGAACTGAATAAATAAATTAAAATATTTGTTGTTTTTCCTTTATTTCTTTTGTCAAATTGCCCGCATTTTTTGTATGGGTGTTGTTTTTTGGGTGTACCGCTAAGACTGTGTGGAGGTGTGCTGAATTTATTTTTGAAATAACACAAATTTTTAAATAAAATATCAAAATAATTGAGTTTTCAAAAAAATTACCAAAATAACTTATTTTTAACATGCATGCGTCATATGATATGGCGACAGTATTGAAAATGCAAATGAATTGAACTGATGCGCCATATCATATGGCAATACCATAAATAAAAAATTAGAAGAGGAGTCATATGATATGGCGTCTCAATTCAATCCTTTTTTTTTCTTTTCTTTTAAAGCCATATTTGAACTGAGACGCCATATTATATGGCTCTTCCTCTGAATTTTTTTTGAATGGTTTTGCCATATGATATGGCACATCAGTTCAATTCATTTGCATTTTCAATGCTGTCGTTATATCATATGGCGCGTGCATGTTAAAAGTAACTCAATTATTTTGATATTTTATTTGAAAATATGTGTTATTTCAAAAAAAATTCGGTTGTGATATATATATATATATATATTGGAGGTAAATTTGTAATCCAAAAAGAGATGATTGCTTAGGAGTCAAAGATTTGAGATTAATTAATATATATTGGAAATGAAAGCTCGTCACAAGATATGGTATGTGGAAGGAGATTCTTGCTGCGAAATATGGTTACAAGATATTGTGACATTTTCCAAGATCAATCATTTTGAGTTGACTGTTCTTCATCAGATATGGAAAAGTAGGGTGTCCTCGAAAGACTGTTTTTGCATGACAACCTCGGACACTCCGAATATGACTCCTCATTTGATGATTATGTTGCAGTCATCCCATTTATAATAATAAGTGTTAGAGTTCATAGTAATATTTATTTATAGAAAGTTATTAGTTGTTAGTTTTTTTTTGTTTTTTTTAAGTTAGGTAAGATTTGTTGATTTAGTCGTGATTGATTTATAGTGTATAATATATTCATTTTAATAAAGGCTGGGGCTGCTATGATTCTTTAGTGGAGTTTTCTGGTTTTTCTTGGATTTAGGCACTTTAAGTGCAAGTAGTGCTTGGATCTGCTTTGGAGAGTTTTTTATGTTTTCATGGCAGCAATGAAACTTTTTGGTCTGCTCTTTAGTGTATTTTCCCGCAAAATTTTTTCTTTTTGGGTGCTGATCCTAAGCTGTATTTTCAAAATGCATGATTTGGTTTTACTATTTACACATTTTGAAACTGAGTTTTAACATCATTTTAGTTTTTTTAATTTGAAGTATTCTGTTAACCTTTTGCAGGTGCTGGAATATTTGGTCATCTCTCAGATTCATTTCTTGGAAGAAAAGGATCTCTCATAGTTGTTTGCATCCTAAACAGCATCTTTGGCATCTTAACAGCATTTTCCCCCAACTACGTCGCTTACTTCATCCTCCGATTCCTCACCGGTTTTAGCACAGGCGGTGTCGGCCTCTGCGCCTTCGTACTCGCCACAGAGCCTGTAGGTCCCTCAATGCGTGGCACAGTCGGTATGACCACCTTCTACTTCTTCGCCACAGGCATTGCAGTTCTCTCCAGCATAGCATATATCTTCCCAACATGGCGCGACCTATACATAGCCTCCTCTATCCCCTCTATCTTGTTCCTCGTCTTCGTCCTCCCTTTCCTCTCTGAATCCCCTCGATGGTACCTTGTTCGGGGACGAATCAAAGAAGCCATGAACACCATGTCCACCATAGCTACCTCTAATGGCAACAGCCTTCCGCGCCGAGTTTCTCTTGCACTCGACAAAGAATCCCCGTCATCGTCATTTAGTCACAGTACAGACGACAAAGATGCAGTGACAGGCTCTCTTGTGGACGTGATCCGTTCACCACTAACAAGGACACGCTTGGTTTTAGCAATAATCATCAACCTGTTATGCTCAGTGGTATACTATGGTCTAAGCCTAAACGTAGTAAACCTCGAAACAAACCTTTACCTCAACGTAATACTCAACTCGGTTGCAGAAATGCCAGCATTCATGATAACAGCAATGTTGTTGGATAAGTTAGGAAGGAAGCCATTAACAATAGGGACATTATGGGTCAGTGGATTTTTCTGTTTTATAGGGAGTTTGATGACAAATGAGGGAGTGTGGAAAGGACTGAAAATGGTGTGTGGAATTATGGGAATATTTGGGATGGCAGGTACTTATAATCTGCTCTTTATCTACACAGCAGAGTTGTTTCCAACTGTTGTTCGAAATGCTGCACTTGGGAGTGCTACACAGGCCGCACAAATGGGCGCAATATTGGCCCCGGTTATTGTCGTTTTGGGCGGATCATGGCCATTTGCTTTATTCGCTTTATGTGGAATCATTGGTGGTCTTTTCGCGTTTTTCTTGCCGGAGACGCTAAACCAGCAACTCTATGATACACTAACTGGAATGGAAGCAGCAGTGGAAAAAAATGTTGACACTGATAACTCTACTGTATGAGTTATACTTGCAATTTAAGGTCTATTTTTCTTTACTTCATGATGTTTTGGTTTTATTTTTATTTTTATCCTACACATGTTCAATGTATGTTATTGTATTACTGTTATTTTATTATGGGAAATTTCAAAAATAATGTTACAACGCAATGATTTGTTGATTTGGAAAAAATGTGATAGATGGTTGATCACTTGATTACTTAAATTTAATTACGAGGTAGCACACTCGTAGTAATATTTTTACAACATGGGTGCCCCTTAGTAATATTTTTACCTAGTAGCACACTCTACTAGCATTAAATATATATACAATACACATCATATTTAAAATTTCAAAACATGAATGGCGTTGCAGAGAATGCTGGCATAATCATAGACCTGCAATTTTATACCAAAAAACAAGTCAGTTAATGACAAATACATTCTAACAAATCATTCATATAGTTTACACATTATTTCATTTTCATACTTATAAATCAATCAAAGAAATCTAAATATACATATAAAATTTCGTCTTATTTATATTTTTGTTCCTGAAGCAATCTCGTGTATAATTTCTTATAATAAGTCAACTCCATATTGAATAAGCAAAATAACGCCTTGTTGAAGCAATAGTGATATATTCCAACTTAAAATTTATTTATTCATTTTTCTATAATCACTTTTAAAATGGCCAGTGTTTTGTACTATTATAACATGCAGAAAATTTTTAGGTATACTGAGATATTACAAATAGTTTTATATATAATTGATCACAATTTTTTTATTAATTAAAAAATAAAAATAAAATTTTCTCTCCCATTCGTATTCACAACCACACCATAAATCTATTTAAAAAATAAATTAAATTTAAATTTTTTCTCATATTTTATTGGATGTTTCTAAAAATATAAATTTATATATGTTTTTCAAATATTTCTCATAACATAACATGCACTGGTCCATATATTTGTTTTCATTGAGAATATTCAATATCCAGCCTATTGAATCGATTAATTGGATTCGGAAGTCAGTGCTACAATGAAGTAAATCTAATCTCTTCTGATCCTAGTTGCAGGGACTCAATAGTGGTTCTTTCTAACAAATTAAGTTTCAATCATCGCTCAACCATCTAACTATCATTTTTCTTTCATCCATTATAATTTTCTAAAATTCAAGATTTATTTGTATACATTAAAGAAATCCAACGATAATTTAACTCAATCTCTAAAAGCAGTTTTTTAACTAACCCGTGATAACCGTCGCTGTAGTTCCGGTGATACACCTTACCGGCACCACGGGCGGCTGTCTTCTTCTTAACCTCCTTTCCTGCAGAAGCCACGGTACCTTTCGGTTGAACAACGACATCCTCTGAGATCGGTCCCAACGAAGGCCTCCAATCAGCAGAGCCACTCTTTTTATGCTTCTTACGATATCTACGTTGAGAAGAAGAAGAAGAAGAAGCGGAAACTGTAGGAGAAACTACCGGCGCCGGGACCAGCCACCTCCCCTCATCCTCAGGCACCGAAGTTTCCCGCTCTAGTATCGTTGGCGTAGCGCAACAAGAAACGAACTCCAACAAATACCTCATCCGGCTCCTCTTTGATTTCCTTTGATATGTTTTTGTTTCGCTGACAAGGAAACGGAAAGAGGGGAGGGAATTGGAAACTACGAAGTGATTCGGCGGTGGACGGAGGAGGAGGTAACGGAAACAAGTTCCATTGAAGGATTGGACTTGGAGGCTATGAGAGAGAAAATGGATTGGGAATTTGTATGGAAAATTCGGGGTTTCCTTTGAGAGATAACTGATAACTATTTTTATAGAGGACGAGAGAGACGCACGCAATATAGGTAGAGATACTGTATCTCATCGACCACTATTTGTCGTTATTTGTTTTCTCTTTTCAATATAGCCTCTCATCTTGTGTTTATTACGAATAAGCCCCGTTGTTCTCCCAGGCAGCCACTTGCCCACTACAGTGGGCCTGTTTTAATATATTATTATTGAACTTATTTATTGAAAAATGTTATCTGGTGCTTTAAGGAGCTATTAGATCACAACTTAAACAATTCAGTATAATTCATTTATTTTAAAATTTGTGAATTTAATTTTTAGAGTTTGAAATATCTTTTATTTTTGATCGAGAGATGTAGGGAAGAGGATAGGTCCGATTATTTAACAGAGATTTGAGATTTAATCTACACAAGTCTTATGATTAAACTTTTTAATATAAAAAAGATTCAGATTTTTTTATAAATCTTAGTTAAAATTGTTAAGCTAAAAATTATTTTAATCCTATTAGATTTGTGTATTTAAATAAATATAAATAATTTATTATTATTATTATTTTTTGTATTTTTGTAATTGATATTTTATGAAAATAAATTGATAATATCTTATGAACGATGTTATAAATTATTTTTAAAAATTTTTTTTTATGTAAATGATCTCATAAAATTTATGTTAATAGATAAGTTCATATAAGTCAATACAAACAAATTTTTTAGATATTTAAAACAAATAGTCATAATTTTTTTTCTTCTTTGAATTAGACTTAGACTTGGAAAAGCATATATGAAAAACATGATATTAGTATATAAAAGATATTTAAATAGTGGGCCTATTTAGTGGAGCCCAAATGTAATATCCATTAGTCATATGTATAGAATAACAACTAATGATTTTAATAATTGGAACTTGGTACATCAATGTAAGTATCTAAAAATAAACCATATTATAATTTTACAACGAAACATTATAATAACTAATGTTTCATCTATCGAACGAATTCTTCAACATAGTGGAAAGACGTTCCATCGAATCCTCAATTAAAGTCTGAAGTTGTGAGTGCAAGCTGAATACTTGCTTACTTGAAAATATTATAACAAAATGGGACGAAATACTAATCTCAGTGAGCTTCCCGATTTAAACCATTGATTCACTCTCTACCATTCTACCGGTTAAGGCATACTTGAACATTCCATCCGGGTATCTCACACCCTTCTGGCGTAACATATTGAGTTACTAACAACTCATATACAACATTCTTACATTAACTTCTACAATATCATGGTGTCCAACATAATACGAGAGAGGGTCTCTCTATCTGGATCACCTTTCTTTTTCTTTCATCTTTTTCCTTATCTTGCATCTGATAATATCCACAAAGAAAAGATATGAATATATCTTAATGGATCATATTTGGCTATTAAACTGTCTACTAAGGATTTATTATGGACACTCAAATCTTAAATCATGCATATTATCTATATCAATTGTCTATCTCTTTGGGCTACAAGTCTTCTGATGCTATCAAATAGCCCATAGTCACTATTTATCTAATCCTCTGACGTCTAGCGTAGTCCTACGGTCTTAAACATGGTTAGATAAACCATGATTGGACTAGGATAAGATTTATTGCACTTCACATAATCATTCACCTCAACTGCCTCCTAGCGTAATTCTAGGACATAGGCGGGCTCGAACGACTAAGGAGATACAATAGCCTATCTTGTTTGCTTTCAATGTATAACTTACCTATAAGGCTATAAAATAGCTACTAGTCAATTTTCAATTAATTATCCAACGCCTAACGTGATTCTACGGTCTTACTTAGGATTAGTTGAACCATAACTAGACTAGGATAAGATTTATTGCACATCACATATTCATTCACCTCAACTACTACCTAGCATAGTTCTAGGACCTCGGTAGGCTATAACAAATAGGGAAGTACAGTAGCATGTCTCGTTTGTCGTCTTATTACTTAACTAAAGGTTTACCTATACTGAATATAATTATCTAAGTTTACCTTACATTAATCAACTCATGATTCCCAAGATTTTCCAAAACTGAACAAAAATAATTCCAGATTGCCCTACAGTAATCATCTCTCTGTTTTACTCGTTTCACATAACATACTTACATGCATACATAAACAAATATATTTGTGCATAGTCCATCTCATAGACGTGGGTGAATTAATTAAGTGCCTAGCCCATCGTAGTTAAATTCAAATTGGCGTCCCAATTATTCAACTATAGTTCCCTCCCGGAATTACAAACTAAAGCCCTTTCCACTCTATGTTGTGACATATAAATCAATATCACCTTCTTTATATATACAATAATATGCATATATATATATATATATATATATATATATATATATATATATATATATATATATATATATATATATATATATATATATATATATATATATATATATATATATATATATATAAACATATGCATGAATGTCAAAAGACTAAAACATTAACTACACCATGTTTTTAGGATATCTACCATTATCACTTACTCTAAATAAATGTCATGTTATTCACATATTGCTAACATAAAATAATAGCATAAATAATCATATTTATTTATAATAAGATAGTTCATTGAACTATCTTTCCAAGTAACTGACCGCATTTCAATCAGAGTTACAGAACTCAAATTATGACGAAAACAGAGATTTACACACAATATGTCTCCAAGATTCGAATCACATAATTCGTGATTCGAATCATGGAAAATAATACTAAATTTTTTGCTAAATTTTACCCTGTGATTCGAAATCACAGGTTTCATGAAAAAAAAAACTATGATCAAATTCATGCCATCAAATGAAAAAAGCTTAAATTAGAATAAAAGAATTTTAGGCCGAAAATAGATATGGGAAAAGAGCAAAAATGGTAAGCAAAGATGATCTAGTTTCTTATTCAAATTTTTTGTCTAGATGCAGATATTCAAAAAGAATTTTGTCTAGTTTTAGAAGTCATTGAAGACTTTTATCTTCCTTGGTTTTCATGCTCTCTCCATCCAAACTCATGGTATTTGTTATATTCACAATGGGTAACTAGATTGTTTAGATTAGATCTTTTTAGAAAAACATGTTTGTACTTGTTGAATCATATGGTTGTTTGATGTTACTCGAATTATTTTAGGATATTGTTATTATTTATTTGTCCTTGTGTTCATTTCTATTTATGTATTGACGAATGCATGAATCGATATCGGAGAAGTAGGGATTTCTAACCATTAGTCTATTGATCGGATCTAGGGGTGGGTAATTATAAGTTGTGGATTTTGAATCAACGGCCTTAGAATGCGTAATTTAACTCTAAATTGGCCTAAGGAATTAGAGAATTATTCTGTAGATTAGCGAGATGTACACTAAGGAAATAAGTACAGTGGTCATGTTAATTCGTCGTAATACTTTAACATATTATAAATTTGATTAATGCATAATTTTTCAACAAGTATGAATGGGGAAGTCAAAAGAATATCTAATCTCCTTTAGTCATTGAATTTTATTCCAAGCATTCTCTCCTTTTATTTATGAACCAAATCAACCTTAAAAATCCCCCATTATTATTTACTTTAATTCCCACATGGTTAGCTTTTTAAAATTTACAATCTATCTAATTTTATTTATTACTTCAACGATACTGGGACATTGCTAGAAATGTCCCTCCAATTTTTGGCGCGTTATTGGGGATTGTTGATTTAAACAAGGCAATATTTGTGCATAGTTTTTTATTTTTAAACTTTTATGTTTAATTTTGAATTTTCATTGTTACTACCTATTTGTTGCTATATAATTATTTTTGCTTTAGTTTGTTTTAGTTTCTATTGTTTTAGTTCGTCATTGTTAATAGTTAGAAGTTTATCTTATTTTCTATTTTACTTTTATATTTTTTATTTTTTATTGTTAGTATTTTAATTTTATTTTTATTTTAGTTATTAATTTTTTTGTTATTTTTAATTTGTTGTTTTATTCTGCTTTTTCAATTTTTTTTCTTATTTAGTTTTTATTTAGTCTAGTACTACTGAGTATTTTCTCCTGATTGTGAACGCTAGGTAAAGCAAGACATGTATGATGGAGTTAAAGTTGCTCTATTAGCATAACTTCAAGTCTTATCAAAGCAAATTGCTGCTTCAACTCTTATTCCAACAAATGTTAGTCTAGTTAGGGCTTTACAGCGTGATTTCTGTGGTGAAGGTCACACCAATGGATGTTATGTACCATACGTTGAAGAAACACATTATACGGAAAATTGTCAAAATCCAGATACTCACTTCAACAGCTATAATTTATGGTGGGATGATCATTCAAGTCTTAACTAAAGTACAATTAATTTCAAAATTTTAACCAAAAAGCTCCTTAAGATCCACCTCCAAGGAACTCATCCCTTCTAGAAGAAACTATGAACCAATTCATGCAATTTACTCAAATAAATTTGGAAGCAATGGCGAGCCTTTAAATCAAATTGGTTAGTTATCTAAACAAGTGGTAGCTCCATCGAAGGGAGGTTTTAATGGAAATACGTTGAATAATGCTAAATTTTAGAGAGAAGCTGAAGATGAATGAGAAGTAGTTTATGAAGGAATTGAAAAAGAACAAGAAGAAGAAAAATTCATGCCATCAAAAGAAAAAACTAAAATCAGAATAAAATAATTTGAGACGGAAAATAGATATGGGAAAAGAGAAAGAATGGTAAGTGAAAATGATCTAGTTTTGAATTAAAAAAGTTGTCTAGATGCTGATATTCAAGAAGAAAATCTTCAAAAAATAATGTCCCA